ACAAGGGAGGGCGAAACTTATCTTTGTTCTCTTGGTATAGCCTTGCCATTGTAACTTTGAGTGGAGTAACCAAATCATCCTCCATAGGTCTCTTCTCTGCCTTCCAGGAGGTCTGACGCTGCGTAGGAACTTGTTTCTGCCGTATCTTTGCTTTGGACTTCTCTTCTGTGGAGATGATAGATGTCTTCCTAGCATTAGCTGCTTCTTCCTCTTCCAGGCGCACGAAACCATCAGCTCTCTCATTTAGCTCGTCCATTGTTTTCAGCGTGTTCACCACCAGACTGGTATGGAACGGTGTCCCTCGAGTCATAGCTAACTTGAACGCTTGAACTGCTATGGAAGGATGGCACTCTATCACCATGCTTTTGGTTAGGTTAAACCTGGTAAGAAAAGCTTGGAGACGTTCATCGTCATGCTGTTTCATGGTGAACAAACTAGAGATATCTTTTGCCGAGCGCTTATTCCTATAGTACTGGCTTATGAATCAATCGCACAAATTATGAAAATTCTCCACTGAGCCCCTTGGCAGGTTCTTGAACCAGTTGAGCGTTGATCCAACTAAGCTTGTAGGAAAACGTTTGCACATCAAAGGATCATTCTCTGTGTTTAGTGCCATCTTCAACTGAATGTGGTATACATGATCAATCGGATCGGTCGTTCCGTCGAACAGAATGAAAACAGGCATAGAAAACTTCCTCGGGCTTGGAGTATTCAGGATCTTGTTAGTAAACGGCGAATCAACCGTCCGCGCTGCCGAACGGAGGGCCTCATTCTCTCTTTCAAACCTCATAAAAACTCTTTGATCTGTAGATCTTTTTTCCGAACTCCTATAATCATATGTGGCCATTGAAGGTCGATAAAGTGGATCGAACGACCTTTCCTCAGTGAACTCTTTCTGCCACGACGAGTTAATCTTGTGATAATCAAACTCCATATCCTGTTCGCAATTATGCCTTTCCTAATGCGGATTGAAAGCTGTATTTTCTTTTCGCCGGATATGCTTACGATGTGGATCGAGATGTACAGATCCTTCTCAATCCTCAGCTCAACGAGCGTTTGGTGGTAAATTCTCCATCCTAACCTTCTCACGGTGGAGATCGACGTGGTTATCTCCCTCTTGCTCGCCTAGATGTGCTTCATCAGGTCGCACGCCTTTTTCACCCACCGAAGGCGGTCGCGGCGCAACCGGAACCTCTCGGCGTTCCATTCCAGCTCTCAACTCTGCATTTTCTTTTCTCAGAGCCTCGATCATGTTCATCAGTTCATCAAGCTTCATCTGCTGGCCATTCTCCACTAGATTCGAACTCTCTCCTCCGATCATCATTCCGGATCGTAGCAAAGTCATTAACCGCGAATTTCTAATCAGATCTGAGCTTTGCTAATGCAGACGCTCTAGATCTGGATTCTAGCTCAGCTGAATTTCGATCGCGATTAACTAGATCTGAGTTGCTCCGGCGATGAATCTGCTAAATTCAGTTATCTATGCAACTTTCGACCGCACGGTTCTCCAAAACAAGCACAAATCAGAACTGCGTAGATCGAACGCTAACTAGTCCGATCATGATTTCATCGACCTTGATTCTGCCTTCAACGATCAGGCCTCGTCTTCACACGCTACACTACTAGATCAAATCAATCTGAGTGAAACATCAATGAATTCTCATCGATTCCCACGGACGGCGCCATTGAAGATGCAAGAAATTTTCTTTCTCTAAATTGACAGAGTTTCATTACACTTCAAATATTTCGATCCCCCATTTCCTTCATTTTTCACCTATTTATAGATTGTTTACAATGTTCTAGAAGATCCCTAATTAACTTCCTCCATTGGGCTCATCATTGAGGCTTTTGTATCCATGGATCCATTCGTCTTTCAGGCCTTCAGCTTCACTCTTCGGGATTGGGCTTGCCTCACGGCAGCTTGATTTGGGCTCAGGCCATTTGCCTGGCCCATTCTTCATCATGTGGGTTAGATTCGGCCCATGACGCCTTTGATATCCTCACCTATGAAGGAACTAACCAAGTCAAGCAAACTAAGATTCATGAGCTTGTTAATCAATATGATTTTTTTCTCATGCTTAATAATGAATCTATTAGTGAAATGTTTTCTCGTTTTACTAACATTGTTGATTCCTTGAAGAATCTTGATAGAGTATTTTCATCATCCAATTTTGTGAGAAAAATTCTTTGGGCACTTCAAAAGAGTTGGTATACTAATGTCTTGGCCATTCAAGAAGCCCAAGATCTCAAAAATATTTCTCTTGATGAATTCCTTGATTGTCTTCAAACGTATGAGATTACTACGAAGAATCAAGTTGAGAAGCCATTCAAGCAAAAGAAGTTGTTGATGTGGATGATATGGGTGATCTTTGTCTCATAGCCTTCGACCATGAGGTAAACTCTAATCTTGATTCCCCTTCATATGATGAATTAATTGATGTGCACAATGAATTACAAAATGTTTTTAAATATCTATGTAATGTGCTAGAGAAACAAATTTCTAAGAACACATTTCTCAAGAAAAAGAACAATTTTCTCTCAATTGAGCTCTCAAGAAAAAGAACACATTTCCAATTCTCAAAGTGAATAATTTGTGAAACTCTCGAGTACATGACCAAGGGGTGTTAATCATGTGCTTGATGGGTTGAACCGTCAAAATTGGCATGTGAGATATACTAATTTTTCAAAATTAAATTTTATGATGGACAAATTATTTGATGAAAATAAATATTATTAAATTTTTACCAGCAGGCCAGTAACATTATTAGTACCCTACTTTCTAAAAGGAAGGTAGTGTTTGAGCCTCAATGGAGTGTGTATTTACCGACTAAAAAAATATATTGTTAAATTTCTGAATTTGTACTTAAAAATAATTATTATTTAGTGCATATTCTAGTATATTTAATCATTTTTTCTAACAGTTGGATGAGAACCCAAGATCTTAAACTCTTAACATGTAAGAGCTTTCTCATTGTAAACTCCTTCAAAAAGAAAATGCGGAAAACATAACATGTGACTATAATTGAATGTTAACTTTTAGCATTTTGCAACAACTTTATCCTTTTTGTCTATTTAAATTATTGGAGTCTGTTGTTCTTCCATTATGATTACAGATACTTTTACATGTAAAATTATAATTTGTCCTTTTATTGAAATTATGAAAAGTCTCTCTCTAGTCTAAAGGTGTATTATACAGTTTTTAATGGGAACTATACAATGTGCGTAAAAGATTTATAGTTACAAAATACAACTCTTATTATTGGGTAGAGGGAGTATAATTAAAGAATAACAATTTAAAGTTAAAAAACTAGACAGTTTTGATTAATTTTATATGAGTGAGGTAAACATATCACGATATTATTAATATCTCTAATGTTACGATGTCATCAATTTTTATTTATGAAACCTCTGTCATGACTCATTTTTTAATCAAAGTGAGTGAACTCACATAGACACCTTTTCTTAATAGTCTTTCATATATGAATTAGATTGCCACCTAGGAAGCAATAATGTGTTGACACATGCACAACACAATACCGATAAATTGGAAAAATCTAAAATAAAAATACGATGCATATTGCAGAATAAGTCAAAAATAATATCTTAATATATTGTTATATATAAAAATAATAAATTTTGCTCCTTTTATCCACATTATCACGATGGAGATCACAATTTTTGGAATTTAGAGATAGAAGTTTCTTGTTTTAGATTTTTAAAATATTATATTATTTTTTAATTAACCCATAATATTTAAAATTGCAATAGCTTCACATTTCTGTAAAAATAATAATTATAAAATTACCCACTATTTTTTAAAAATATCTCAAATGTGTTCAAGTTGTATGTAACTAAAATAAAAATATGGGTAAGTTATACTAAGCTCCCATGTTAAGTATTTAAATAAGAAGAAATTTCCCAATAGTTTTAAAAATAACACAACTTCCTTTATCACTATTGTCGGTTTATCAAAGGCGTGAAATGATAATTATACTCATTATATTTTTACTATCATTTACCATTACAACATATAGACAAAAATATATTTTCAAACTTTCTAAGGGTAAAATTGAATTTCAAGTAAATTTCAACCATGACATCAGTAGACAAGATCGATTTTACAACAAGGGAAAGTCTATTACTTTAACTAGAATTACAAGAGAGACCGCTGTTATTTTTTAAATTAGACTAGGAGGTTCTTATTATTTATACTTTTAACAAGAAAAGCAAGTGTACTTTATCAAAAAAATATTTGACCTAAAATATTTTTTTCGAAAAACATTTTTTTTTCAGGTAAATTTTTTATTTTTCGATATTTGAAAAAGATTTAGGTTGATATTGAGGTCCAGTCCATCAGGTGAGACGTATGAAATGATTTGTCAAAAATTGATAAATAAATTATTTTGTTAAGTTTTGATATTTTTTTCGTTCATAAATATTTTACGATAATCAAATATTAAAAAACATATAAAATATTTTTTAAAAAATATTTTATGCTCAAACAAACAAATGAATAAATTTTTCCCTCAAAAGAGTTTTTGTGTTTTTTTTTTTTTTTTTGTTTTGGGACATTTTTAGGAATAATGTGCGAGCTTTCTAGGTTGCCCACTAACATTTTGTCCTAAGTTGGTATATGTTTGACTGGTCGCATCGGTTGGTGCCCTTAAACACATCTACAAACACTACGACTATTCTTCTCTTTGTTTCCGCCTAATACTAAAATAATCAGCCGCTCAAAGTCCCGATCATCACTAACGGTAAGATTCCATGATTCCCAACTATACATCGCGTCACAGACAATCCCACCCTGTCCCGCCACAAGTGAGAAAACGAAGTGTCCTTGAAAACCACCCCCAACGTTACAATCACCAGCCAATCACCACACGCCACCTCAGCACACAACATATCAGGCTGAGGTTTGTCACCCGTGGTTCACCGGCTCACGTTAGCAAACCCTCGCGTGGTCAGAAACTCCAATGTAACGCATTAATATCCAGATACCTCCACGTGTCCAAACTCTCTCGCGTCGTCGAGTTATCCGTTAACCCTAATCTCTCTCCTCTCTTTTTCTCTCTCTTCTCTGCAACTCCATTGAAGAAGAGAAGAGAACACAAATCAAATCAAATCAATTTTAATTCTTTATTTTTCAAGAAATTTGATTCTTTTCTATACATATATAGTAAATGGGAAAGCTTATATGTGATTCGACGACGTCGTCACCGGTGATTCCGTGGAGAGATCCAACATCAGCTCCGACACTGGACAGCATCGAGACCGTTGATCTAGCTGACCACAATACAATCAACGCCTGGGAAAACGTGACCGGCTTGGAGGACCAGCAAAGGCGTCATTTGCAGAGGCTTCACGCCAAGGGAGTGCTGTGGAAGCATCCAGGGGATGGTGACTCTGACTCCTCCGTCGTCGCGGAGGGGGTGGTGTTCCGGCTGACGCACGGCGGAGACGTGGAGGCGGACGGGAACTGTCTCTTCACGGCGTCGCAGAAGGCGATGGGATCGGCGGCGGCAGGCGCCAGAGATCTGCGGCGTAGGACGGTGAGGAGGTTCTTGGAGGATCTTGGATCTGTGAGCGGATTGGAGAGAGATGTGATTGAGGATGCTATAAAGCATATGTACTCGCCTGATCTAAGGTCTGGTTGGGGGATTCATGTAGTTCAGGAGATCAAGCTTTTGGCCAAGAAAGAAGGTCGAGAGGCGTTGGATTCAGCTATCGACGAGCTTGTTCAGCTGGGTATGCAAAGGTAATTTCTTGTTTGTTTGTCGATCTTTTTTTGTCTAGATTCAGATTTCAGCCATTGGATTGTCTGAAACTTGTTTTTTCTCTTTCTTTGCTCCGTTTGTTTAGGGCGAAAACGTAGGGAATGAGAAGAAATGTAAATCTTGGACTCAAGAAGGCGAAAATTACACTGAAATGTAGATTTGTGGCTTCCTTAATTGAAACCCAATTCGATCTCTTTTTTATTTTCTTTTATTTTTATTTTTATTTTATTTTTGTATCCATTTTGCAAGTAGTATACAAATATTTTGAGGGTTCCCTAAAATATATTAACTTTCTTGTTTTATTTATTTATTTATTATTATTATTTTTTGGGTCACAGTAGTTGCATTTTGTTCTCTGTTTTGTATAATTTATTTGGTATAGTTTTTCATTACATCTTTTACCCTTTTTCCCCCTCTTGATTGTGGAGGAGATGGCATGTACAGGAATATTTAGTTGAATCTTGTTTTTGAAAAGAGTTTTTATTTTATATATATATATATATATATATATATATATATATTTCAATACTTGCATTTTGTTCTCTGTTATATTTTATATATTATTATTATTTTATTTTTTTTCCCCTGAAAGTTAATGCTAAATCTTATATGTATAATGGAAGTAAGTTATTGGATTCAGATTTAAGATTTAGTGTTGCAAATTGATGTGCTATTTTGAGTTACATATGTGTTTTTTTTTGTTTTTTCTGATTGAAGAGAGTTGGCTGCGGAGTCAATTTACAAAGAGAGGTGTACTGCTGTGGATGATGGGCCGAGTTGGGCCAAGTACATGTCAATCTCTGGGTCTCCTGGTGATGAATATGATATCATCACTTTGCAATATACTGAGGAGGGTTTATTAACTGTAGATGAGAACAGAGAAGGCCATGCTGCTGCTTTTGGAGATGATATAGCGATAGAATGTCTTGCAACTGAGTTTAAAAGAGAGATATATGTGGTAAGAATAACATTTATGCCTTGGGTACCTCATTGCTCTTGTTGTTGTTGTTTTTCTTCCCTTGGAGACAATTTGATTGATTTTGACATATTAATTTATTCTTTTAGCAAATGCTGTTAATTTCTTTTAACCTATTGGTTTGCTTCATCACAATTTAATCTTTGGTCTAATCATTTAAGTAAACTAGTGTGATTGTCAACTTGTGGTGGACATATGTTCCTCTATGGTGCATAATTATGTGCATGTTGCTGAAAGTGTCCCCATATACTATTTATATGATATTGTCATGTAATTTTAGGGGGATAGTTCTGGTCAAAGTAACATAAGGGGACCTAAAAGGTTACTTTCGTTCTTTCTTTCTTTGATGAGTTCTCTTCCAACTATATACACCCTGTTTCATCGAATTTTAGTTGTATACACCCTGTTGCACCGATTTTTTTTTTTTTTTTTTCTTAATTCATGAGTTTTGTGACATTTTTCACTCTAATTCAGCCCCCTTTAGCCTTTCTTTTCTTTTCTTTTCCCTTTTCCCTTTTCCCCCTTTACTGCAAGTTGAATGAAAGAAGGAAATGAAAGAAAATAAGCCTTTAAGATGCATAAAATATGGGGGTAATATAGGAGTAAATTAATCTCTTAAAGATGCATTTTTCAATATGGAGTCAGAACATGGAACTTTTTTCATGTGTCATGTCCTCTTTTTCCCCTCAGCAAGAGTGGAAGTTTTCAATATACATAGACTGGCTTGGTGAATGAATCATTTACTGGGTGTCAATACACTAAAGGGTAATGTAACATGGATGTCTTGCCTTAATTAGAGTAAACTCATCACTTAAAGACGCATTTTTCAGTTTGATCTTATTTTATACTTTTTACTAATTCTAATCATGCTCCATTCCAAAAAAATAGGTTTTGTAAGAGGGGAAGCATTAGAGAGGGGGTGGTAATGTTGGAAGAGTCTTTTAGGGTTGGGGGTACCAGATGCTTGTGAGCTAACAAATATGTATATATCGAAAATGGACGCAAATTGCAGTCCCAACATTCCCCCACAGAAAATCCTTAAAAACTAAGAGATATATTAGTTTTTAAGGACAAATTGACAGATTGAGGACATGACAATGAGAGATATATTTTTATATTAAAACTATGTTAACCGAGACAGATAATATTCTGATTCTGACATGAAATTTTTATTTTTTAAATCATGTCATTATAATCACCCCCTTCATATAGAGAATGACATATTAGGGACATGTCAAATATAATTCTGTACATGATTTTGTGTATGTATATGGATCTATTAGTATACGTACACACATAATTTGATTACTTATCTCTCTAACTCTCATGCTTACTCATTTAATGAAATCTTCCTATAATTTATGCTTTTCAAACATGGTCAACCTTTATATAAATTCCTTGTAACACTTACTTTTCTGTTTTTAATTTTTTCAATTATATGTTTTTTTTTTATGTTAAAAAATGTCCTAACCAACATATATCCAAGATTTATTCCTACATGTTTCCAATGTGCTAGTCAAGTATCAAAAATTAAGAATATTATGTTTAAATTGTGACACATCCAAGATCACGTGTCCAGAAGTGTTTGAAAAGTGTCGGTATCCAACATATGTTCGACACAGATATAGCCACCTTTGTAGAAGCACATGACAATATTTCAATACTGTTAACTCTTATCTTTTGTAAACTTTTTGGGGACTTGTGATATAATAAGTCATTTGTTCTTAAGATTGCTTTTTTTTTTTTCCCTTCTTTCTCCCCCTTATGGTAGGTGCAAGCTCACGGATCAGATGCAATGGTGGATGAAGAAAATTGTGTTTTTTTCCTTCCACATCGACCAAGGAGTGAAATTTGTGAACCTCCCTTCTTCCTCTTCATGAAAGGAACAGGTAATGGAACTTCTTTAAGTTGCTTGTGTAGTGTTTTTTGGTGGTAAATTATATTTTGTTATTCCCTTTGTCATAGCATGTCATATATCCTGTAAACCTATAATTATTCTTTCAATGCTTTCTTTTCTTTTTTTTTTTTTTTAATTTTTTAAGATGTATGCTTATATACTTTCCATGAACAGGTTGGTGTGGGGCTGGAGCTGACCACTATGAGCCCCTTATTGCTCATCCTTCCTCACTTGTGTCCCCGGAGAAAGTTGCTCTGGTACTCTGAGGTCTTACTCATGCAGTTTTGTGGCGTAGAGGTTAAATAGAAGTAGTCGTTCAATTTTCCCCCCATTATTTGGCATGCAAAGTTGTTCTCCACATACTTTTCTAGAAAACATGGAGAATTTTCGTGCTTAGAATTGATTTTTCTTTCATCAGTATTGGACTCGGTCACTTTTTCCTTACAGCTGGCAGGTTTTGTGCCTATGCCTGAGCAGTTCTGTAGTATCATAGTTGTAGTGGTTTTGCCGGCTTCTATATTTGTTGTTGTTGAGTTTTCTTGAGGATCCTTGTATCATCTTGGTACTATTGTTGTTCAAGGTTGAATAGTACCCTCTTTTCTTTTTTTTTTTTTTTTGTATCTGATTCTGGATTTCATTTATTTAATGATAGAAGTGACTTTTTCATTTCAGCTGAATTATAGGACTGTAGCTATTTATTCAATTTATGTATTTGAACCCAAGTCCATTAGTTATCTCAACTCAGTTGCCCAGTGTTCCCGTTCAAGTAAAGGTCAAGTCCCAAAGTTTCGTTGGTCTAATTTGAATTTATACCTAAAATGGCATGCATTATTTACCATATCAATCTTTTCACTAAAAAAAAGATAGTTCCAAGACTTGTTATTTGATAGTATAACAACCAATATTTATCTAGTTATGTTTGTATTTCCTTTATGATAAATGAAGTAGAAATTAGAAATATGAACCTTCCTGAAAGAAAAAAAATATAAATATGAATTTATCACCATGTTAGTGAACGTGTATGATTATGATTTATATCCGTTAACTCTTGAGCTTGCAATATATGTCTATTTTCTAACCTTTTTATTTTTTTATTTTGACAAGTATATGTCTATTTTCTAACCTTACTACCCATTTTCAATGCTCAACTTATTTACTGATTAAAGAAGAGATGATGGCTCTACCCGTGAAGGTTTGCTTGAACAGAACAGGAAGAATGCTTTTCAAAATTTGGTTCGTGTAGTACATATTACTGACTTACAGATGTTTAAGGTGCAGATTTAGCGTTATGTAGATTTTGTACCTAGTGTCATTTTTTTCTTGTCAAAAATATTTTGAATAATGTTTTGTTCGACACCCTCTGAACAAGGTCATTTTAAAATCTCTCTCTTTGAGCAAGGTCATTTTAGATTCTCTAAGCAAGGAGGCTCATTTTTTTTTTTTTTTTTTTTCATTGTTGCCCTAATACTTGCAATGTCATTATATACAATCGCTTTATTAGATATAATCAAGATTTGCTGAGTGTGGTTTGCTCCGAAGAAGGCTCTCTGGACTCCTTCTACATGCAGTTTGATGGTTTGCTAATCGGTTTGATTGCACTGAATTGTGATGTTGAGGGATGTGTTCTTCTTTTTGGTTCGTCTGGCTATTTTCATTTCGGAAAAAATTGTTATTTTCTCATGTTTGGTTACTACATTTAGTCGTCTAAGGGACTGTTGCTGCTGTATTTGTAGAAATCTTTTCAGATTCTAAATCAGAGGGTGTTTTTTTCTCTACATTCTAGTGCAACAACATATCCTCCTAGATTGGGAGAGAGTATGAGATAATTCTGAAAGATCTCCCATGAAATGTTACTTATCAGAAATTCGTTTTGCATGTGGTAACATTAGCCGGGTAATTCTGGTTTTTTTTTTTATCTGTCATGTACTTCCCTGATTCCTTTCTTTGGTTGTGGTTTGACTCAAAAGGCTAGTAATGTAAAAGCAGGGATGATTGTGTGTGTGAGGGAGAGAGAAGAGAGAGAGGGTGTAGTGTATATAACTATATAACTATATATATATATATATATTTTGACCTGGCAATGGTTTAGTGGGGTTAGGGAGTTAGGGGTTAGATTGTGTGTGTGAGAGAGAGGGTGTAGTGTATATAACTATATATATATATATATATATATTTTGATCTGGCAATGGTTTAGTAGGGTTAGGGAGTTAGGAGGGGTTAAAGGGAAGGGGAATGATGCTGGTGGGTTTTGAACACGGGTTAAAGGCCCCTAAACAATACACGTCCTACTGCGGTGGGCTAACACCGCACTCGCAGGGTGGAAGAAAGTACATTGTGTCAAGGTCATAGAATTACATCAAACCTCACTCTCTCCAGGATTAAAACCAGGAAGATCATCAATATTCTTTGCTTCTTTCCGAACAAATTGCAGGACAAAATTAATCTGTTGGCTAAAGCAAAGATTGCCTTAACAATGACTTCCGCTTCAGTCTCAATGCGCACTCTATGATAACACCACTGAATAAAGCTATGTTCGGTTTTCTCCATTTTCAATTTCAAGGCACCAATTCCACATTACAGTTGAAGCTTTCAAAACCTTCTCCGCGTGGTCCCCAAGCACCACTCCTCCAACAATGTACTAAAGCTCCATCAACACAGAGGCCAGTATCCGTATTAATTTTTACAAAATGTGGAGGTGGGCAATCCCAACTTTGATGATCATGACCCATCAAAGACATGGAACCACCCACCTGCATGGAGGAATCTACTGCTCATCCCACCACTGATTTTGAAAGACCTAAGGAGCATTCTAAACCTTCCAAATTTGCCAACAAAGACAAGCAGAAGTACCTTCTCTTTAATTCCAAACCATTCATACACTTGGTTCCACTTCTTAGTTCGTTTCCCACCACCAAACATCCCATGTCTCAATTCACGGATCCGGACCCCTTTCTGTGGAGGAGAGTCGTCCTGTTTCACGTTCTGTATCGCTAGTGGAACGCACTACATTGTAATGCAATAGTATCGGGACAAAGTGTAACACCATAAAATAACGATGTAATGTAGCTGTTGCATAAGCGATATAATTAATGATACAGGAGAGGATTCAGGTTCATTAGTTTACGTCTCAACACTGATAATTTGCACACCATGGTTGACTCAAGCAAAAAAAAAAATCCGATTTTATATCAACAAAATTTAAGTATGAGAGACCAGATTTGTCCATGTCTCTCCATTTTACTTGTAACCAATTACACTTATAATATTAAATTTATTATAAATAATCACTTTCTAAATACTGTGTAAGTTAATTATAAGTCAGGAATAATTATGAGGTAACCGGTAGTTTAATTATTAATTGAATTTTTAATAAGGATCTATGTAAAAAAATGTGTAAGTAATTTAGTACTTATATATTGATTCATTAACATTTATAGATATAATATATTTATTGTGAAATAAGTTCAATTGTAGAAAAAAGGGCCGAATTTAAAAAAAAAAAAAAAAAATACTCATTTCAATTACATCCAATACTAGCCTGCCTAATCATGAAACTTGACCCAAGTTGATGCACAATTGGACCAGCCAATTAGCAGCCTGCCTCCAAGGCCACTGTGGGCCAAATCTCAATCGACAAGTCGATGGCCCATGGACCCATGCTTGGACAGAGTTGGACTTGGAAGTCGTGGGCTCAACCGACCCAATGGCCTGCTTGGTGCTTTGGTGTAGGACGGCGTAAATTCGGCCCGAGCCTGCTCTAGAGGCCACTGTGAAAAGACTGAGGTGGCCGAGAAAATGATGTGCTAGTTCAAGCCAAGGCCCAAGGGCATCCCTTAACATTGTTAAGGTCAATGGAACTCTCTCGCAATTTTTCTAAACAAATGTTGATATTACGTTGTGCATGCTTCCGTTCTTATGTTTTCGCTCCCACTCTCATTTTGTGTAACTTAAATTTTGTGTTTTTGCTCTCATTCTAGCTCCAATTCTCACTTTGTATCACTTAAATTTCGTTTTCATGCTCCCACTCCCACTCTCGCCAGGGTATGCCCTTGGGTGGGGCCACCGTATAGTGCCCCCAATTTTTTTTGTGAGCTCTTATATATAGTATATATACTGTGAAAAATATGTTATTTATAAAATGAATTCCAGTTCAGTTGGTGAAGGCCTCATATAAATACAACTTCTTTTTAATACAACCCACTTTTAACTTAATTGATTTTTTTATAAACTTAGGCTCAATATGAGTAGAGGAGAATGCAACCTAATCTGACTTGTTTTAATGCACGTACAGTCCAAAATAAATTTCGTTTTTGTGCTCCCACTCTATGTAACTCGAGAATGAAAAGTCTCAAAGCCCGTGATGAGAGTAGAATTTGCTCGCTCTTATCCGTTTTCTCAACAGAACATGCGCTTAAAGCACTGTTTCTTGGTTGACCACAAAATAAAGCAAATACAAATCTCACTCTCTGCTTTTGAGCCCTTCTATGAAGCTTCACTCACATTTTCCAAACAAGCACACAAAGCACTCTTCTCTTGTTCCTGACTATCATCACTATATTCTCAACTTTTCTCGCAAGATTCTCTCCCTCATGGGTTTTTTAGGGTTATAAGTCAAGGAATGGGAAAAGATTAACAATTATATATATATATATATATATATAAAATATGGTATTCCAAGAGCTTTCTATACTTCTCAAAAGTAGAAATACCAATTCATTGAACCTTGCATCATACAGTTGAATATAGGACAATTATTTATGGTACATGGGGAAATAAAGGCGAGATTGCAAGTTGCAACCATTGAGTGCTAGTACACTAAACGTCACAAGGACGACAAATTATTTAAACCTTCGCATGCTTGATTATGTCTAGCTTAGTTGCACCTAAGCCATATAATTATTTCAACATGTGTTACTCTTAAGTTCCGAACATGCATTCGCTTTTACGCTCTTGTTCAAATTCTTACTATTTATAACTTAATTATGTTGCTCTCACGCTATCGCTCTTGAATTCATTATCGCTCCCTCTTTATATGACTTAGGTTGCAACGCAATATGGAACAAATTGTATAAAGTCCGATCTATCTTCACTTTTAATGATGTACGGACCCTACATAACTTTATAGAAGATTTAAATCTTCACAAATCCCTTATTTGGTGAGTACAGACGTTTTATAAGGTTAAGGAGGGTTTTAATTTTCACAAACCCTATTTTTCGTAGAGTATTTCTAAAGTCTCCTAGTCTTCGGAAACACTTTGATTTTTTTTTTTTTTTTCGTCACTTCAAAAAATATTTATATGCATTGGTATGTATAAATATTAAGGTTTTAAGCCATATGTATTTATCACTTTAATGTGTTTTAGTTGTTGGATTACCAAATTACCCTCTGTTTTGACACAAACCTGTTTTTGCCCTCTTATATCTGAATATTAAATTTCCTTTACTTGGTTCAACACACGAGCGACTACTACTTCAATAAAAATTCAAAAAATAAAATAATAACAAAATAATAATAATAATATTCAACCACTACTTCAATTATAAAAGCAAAAAAGCATTAATATGCCAATGGGTGGGTCCCAAGAAAGGCAGGCAGTAAGGGCAGAGCCTTTTTTTCATGCAGTATTATACACTACACCCACATAAAGTATGCTTACTTTCATGGTCTATTTAAAGTTAGTGTTAGCTTCTTGAGTGTACATATATATTTTCAATGGAAAACATGAAGGGAAAATTATTTATATATGAACTTTTAAATCACAAATTACCAAATTATGAAATTAACTAAATTTATATTGTTTTAACATGTTGCGTTCAGAAACACCAAACCGGTACTTGGAACTGCTTCATCTTGTATTAGTTTATACGTTTCTACAACATATTACCGATTTTTGAAAAAGCATGGATTTATTCGAGGTAATTGTCTCCAATATATATATATATATTTTTGAATTATGGAAAAACATAAAGGTACATCCATAAAATTATGGAAAAACTCCACTATTGCCCCCACCCTCTATGTTTTGAATTTTTTTACGTTCTTGTTGAAGGCCACCCCTCAGCATAATTTTCTGGTATATATATGGACATAAAGGTACATCCATAAGCATCTTTTTACAACATTACGGGCAATACTAAGAGTCCACTTGGTTATGTCACTTATAGAATGGTTCTCAACAATTCAGAAAATAGAAAATTATTTTTAAATAACTATAAAAGACATTTATTTGAAAACGAACTTTTTGTAACTGTGATTTTAAAAAATAGTTCTCACAAATTGTTAACCAATTAAGCAAGTTTTTGTACAAATTTTCGATTTTAGTTTTCAAAAAACTGAAAACTACTTAAGAAACTAAACCAAACAGACACAAACTGTTAGTACAAACTTAAGCAAATGTCTATAAGCCTATGTATTAGTAGTTTTTATAAATTTGAATATACGGTTCTAGTATATGGGCTTAGAAATTGGTGGTTAACTATACTAGATGATACAGAGTAATTGACAATTAGTACACTCATCAATTATGAAGCCCACAACACAATTGATATAGAGTTGATATTATGTGCTCGAACATACTAAGTCATTAGTATGTCCAATCAATCCACATTTATCATTCACGTTGGTTGAATTCACGTAGTGTTCTCAACCAATTTGAATGAGGTATTTTAATTGGTTTGACATATCAATTATATGACTTAGTATGTCTGGTGCACCTGAGAAATTAGCAAATGGCCCTGAACCATTTGACATTTGGTAGACTAATTCAGTTAAAACTAATTAATGTAATATATTCTTTAATATATTAATACATTTTTGTGAGGCCATTAATCTAAATTGAACCGAACCTTCTCGTTGATATGAGCCGTCATAGAGATACTTTTTCATCCTAAGCTCAAAATTAGAAGACGGTGCATATTCCTGCAAAATGCTATTTTAGTAATTTACAAATTCTGAACCATCTGGAGGAAGAAATGGAAAGCAAAAAGATGTGAAAAGCAAAGCAACTAAGAAACACATTCTTACTTTGCCATGGGTTTTCAAAAAGTAACACCCTCATACAAAGTAATTATAAATTAAGCACCATGTGTTGAATTAATCACCAAAATATCTTCCCTTTTCCTCACCATATAAGCCTATGTTTGCAAATACTCCATGTTCAGTCATATGAGAATCTTCACCAATCTTTACCAAGTCCTCTAAGAGCCCCCATCATATACTTCCCTAACACGTACATTCCCTAATATGCCCCTATAATCCCACATTGAAACTCCATTAATGGATTCAATCAAGAGCACAAGAAAACTTCAACCCATGAAATGTTACAAGAAGGGTGAGTACTACTTTTCTAACAATCTCATTCTTCACTCTCTCATAGCTCTGATTTGTATCTTGTTGTGTTCATATCCTTTGTGGTTCCACTCTCTATTGTCTTCAATGAGCCACTTTGTCTTTGTTGGTACCCAAAGCTTCATTTCTGTCTTCCTCAACCCCAAGTGCTTGTTCATAGTAGGCAATGTCATTGTTGTCATCCTCGTTCGAGAGTCAAAGCTTGCTGTTTCGCGTCCATCTCCGGCCACTGAGATTTATGACGAGTATGTTAGGAGGAGCCAAGCTCTTCGCAAAGCCTCTACGTACAAGGAGAAGAAAGAAGAAGGGAAATTGACAGAAAAGTTAACTGGTCAGGAGAAGAAAAACAGTATTGAAACTGGATTGAAGAAGAAAAACATGCAGACGATAGAGAGAGATCGAAAAGGTGATCGTCATCGCGAAGAGGAGGAGCCTGGCTTACCTGTTCAGGAGTTGAACAAAAGAGTTGAAGATTTTATTGCTAGGGTTAACAAGCAAAGATGGCTTGAAGAATACAGGCTGTGAAGAAATTGGATTCAAGTTAGTGTAGGAAAAAGGATGAGATACTATAACAATTGTGTAACTAGTTTGATTAGAGCAAGCTTTTAAGAATTTTAGCAGAAACACAGTAGAAAATTCATGTAATAAGATGTTAGAATATAAACTTTATTTATTTATTTTTTTCTCGATAGCCTACTTCATTGTTGGAGTGAAAACCAGAAATAAAAATACTTGCAAAGTGTTTTCAACCCAAGAAAGTACTCCTTATAATTAGATGTATCACATTTAGTTGTACATTTCTTATTTCATTAAATGACTATAATTTCATTTCTTATTGAATTACACTTAATCTACATTTCTTATTAAAACAAATTTTGAAAAAAAGTTCATACTAATTTGATGACATATTCATTGTTAAATTTTGAAATTAATTTTTTTAAATAAAAATCTTAAGTAGAAAATTTAAAACAATTTAAGTAATTATTTCTTAATTTTTTATGAACATAATGCATAAAAAAGAAGGTGTTTTTTATTTAAGTAATTTATTAATTTTTTATGAATATATTGTATGAAAAAATATATTTTTATGGTAAAAAAGTTTAAAGTGAGTATACTAAAGTTTGCACTTTATTGATGTATTGAACAAGTGATGTTCCATCTTTGCTTCCTTATTAATATATTGCTTTTGGATTCAAAAGAAAGAAAAAAAAAACATCATAACTATAAGGAGATTTTTCTTTTTTTGGGTTCAAAACACCTTAAGAATTTGAATTGAGGCGGTTTTGGACACTCTAAAAATTAGAAACTAATATTATCGATTGTTTTTAATACTCATCATTGGATGAAATCTACTGAGTGATACTAAATTCGCATATATTGTTAAGGCCCAAATTGAACACTCTCTTATGTTTTTGAAATTTGTCCTCGTCGTGTCCGTGCTTCAAAATAAAATATTTATGTTCTTACCTCATTGACCACCATATGCTCTCTGCTTTGGAGCCCTTCTATGAAACTCACATCCAAACAACCAAACGAAGCTCTCTTTTCTTGTGCATGACTTGATGGACAATTATTATCAGTATATTTTCAACTTTTCTCACTAAGATTCTCTCCATCGTCGGTTAGGGTTATGTGAGTCAAGGAATGGAAAAAGATTAGCAAATTATATATGGTTGAACAACTTTTCAAAAGCAAAAATACCAATTCATTGAACTCTGCATCAAAAAATGGAATAGAACAGGGGAGACAAAGTTTGACAAAACTCGTTAATGTGATTCGAACACGAGTTAAACGGATTTGTGTTAACTTTAAATGAGTTTGAGTCATAAAATAGTTGACACGATTAACCCGTTTAGTTAATCATGTCGTGTTTAGGTTGAGAGGTTCAACTCATTTATATCTATTTAATTATTCGTATCATAAACAAATTTCTATTTAAATTTCAAAATAACTATCTAAACCTGTACGTAGTATCTAATAATTTATTCTTTTGTAAATTAGAGATTATTTAATAATTTGGTTGGATTGAAACTTATATTTTTCTAATATTTATTGTTTTGATTGAATATTATTGATAATTTAAATATTATAATGTTTCGTTTTATTAAATAGGTCATTAAACCCGTTTGATAATCAGGTCAGGTTAATATTGAGAGTTCCTAACACGATTATTAAACGATAGTGGTCGGATTACGCTGTTTAGTAGAATACTATTGACATGATATGATTATGACCCGCGAACACGAATTGTAATAACAATTATTTATGATAGTTGGTGAAATAAAGAGGAAGTTAGAACTTGTCACACATTTTGTGTCTTTCACAATTGGAGTTAGGTTTTGTACTTCAATTAAGCTAGGGTTGCACCACATTATGGAACCCATTGTATAATCTATCACCAATTGACACATTTTCCACTTTTTTATTTTTTTATTTTTTATGTCATCACTTTTACATAATGTTTACATGTATAGGTGTGTATAAATATTAAGGTTTTACGCCATATGTATATATCACCTTAAATGTGTTTTAGTTGTTTGATTAACAAATTACCGTTGACACAAACTTTTTTATCTCCTAGATATCTAAATATTGATTTCATTTAAAGTAATGCTCTTAAGAGGTCTCTCCTAAGTCCCAAGTTACTTATTTTTCTCCATTCTTTCACACGTACAACTTACTACCTCAATAAATAAATAAATAAATAATCAACCACTATTTCAGTTATAAAGGCAAAAAAAAAAAAAAAAAGGAGACATTCGTACTCTACTTTTCTCCAATTACACTTTATTTATCATTTTTTTTTATACAAAAAATGACAAGAAAATCCTTGAATTCATTAATGCACAATTCCTTAATTTATAATGTCATAACTACCCTTTATACAACTTTATTATATATATTTTTTGCCTTCTTTACTTTCTTTACTATTTTTTTTTTCCTTTCTTTTTGTTTTTTTCGGAGGTCCTCTCAAAGAAAGAAATTTATTCCATAATAATAATTTTATTTTTGGAAGTCGAAAGGGGTAGTTTATTCTATAGTGACTTTTCAATTTTTTTTTATTTTTTTTTATTTTTATTTATTTTTGTACAATTGAAAGAGATATTTATTCAACAAAATTAATTTTTTTATAATTCGGTCAAAAGAGGTAACTTTATTTTATATGGGTCTTGTTAAAAGCAATAATTTATTCGATAAAAATAACTTCTCTCTTTTTTGGGATCTTATCAAAAGAGATAATTTATTCAATAAAAATATATTTTTTAATCATGTTCCTTTTATACTTATTATTATTATTATTATTTATTTATTTATTTTTTTGGGATTTTGACAATAGAGATAATTTCTTCAATAAATATATATATATATATATATTTTTTTTCATATCAAAAGAGATAATTTTTTGAATGGTTTTACTTTTTATTTTTTTGATCCAGTCAAAGAAGGAATTTATTCAACATAACAAAAAATTATTTATTTTTGATCCCTAAAAAAAAATTATTTTATTTTATTTGTGTTGTAAAAAATACTTAAAATATTAAAAATGAGAGATAAGGAGAAAAAATATGGAAAGACGGTTGTGTCATTTAAAAAATAATTATTATTTACTTGTAAAATTGAGATTAGAATTGTCATTTTATTTAAGATTATAGTACAAATGTTAAAAAGTGGAGTGTGAATATCACTTCCCAAATAAAAAATGCATTAATATGCTAATGGGTGGGTCCCAATTTCCTGCCATAAAAGGTTGAAATGGAAATTGACGGTAAAAGCAATTGAATTTTTATGAAAGAAAGCATTGAGAAACTATTTCATTGTGAAATTAGACTATTAGAATAAGATGAATGTGAAATACAGGGAGAACTGTGACGTGAGCACCTTATGCGAGTTCGCACGCTCATCACAATATTTGTGATATATATAATACACACACACACACACACACACACACAAACAGTGCACCTACATAAAGTATGCCTACTTTCATAGTTTCATGATCTCTTTAAAGTTCGTGTCTGCTTCCTGAGTGCGTGTATACTGCACTGAGTACATATTTTCAACGAAAAACAAAAGACGAAAAATTACTTATCTATGAACTTTTATATCACAAATTACTAAATTGTGAAATAAACTAAATTTATATAGGCCTCGTTTGGCATGCGACACCTTTTTTTTAGGGTTGTAAGTCGAGGAATGGAAAAAAAAATAAGAAAAAAAAAGTCAAGGAATGGAAAAGATTAACTATATTATTATTATTATTATTATTATTCTGTCCACAACGGAAAGAAAACCTATTTCGCATGCAGATGAACTTAACGACTATTAGAAAAGCGTGATGCATGTGAAATTGAGACTTCAAGAGTTTTCAATACAATATTTTTGGTAATATATACATATATACACACCCATATATAATATATATAATAATACATATATCTAACTGTCATTTGTTTGAAAGGAATAAATTTCTTGTTCAGGGTCATTCTCGTCATATCATGAAAAATTTAAAGAGAAAATTACTTCTCTATGAACTTTTGAACCACCAATTACTAAATTATGAACTTATGAAGTGCAAATATGGACATTAAGATACCCAATTACCCAGCTTGCACCTTCTACTACATAACGGTGTTACTAAATTGTGAGTACAAACTTAAGCATGGTTTTGTAATTCTCTATATTTGTTCGTATATTTAGACATATACTTCGTGTATTTGAACTTAAAAATCAATATCATACTTACATCGACTGTGAACTACCGTAAAAAAAATACTTTCATATTCTATAGTTAAAATCACAAGACAATGCATATTCTTGTAAAATGCCATTTAGGATATATATATATATTTTTTCTTTGTTGGTACTCACACATCCATCTATGCCTTCACTAAGGCTTGAATCCTTAATCTTCCTTTAGAAAGTAAGGGCTAGTTTGGTGTACAAGAATGAAATAGAATACGAATGAAGCTAGGAATGGAATGAAATGGGAATGATGATTCTCATTCTCTTGTTTGGTTGCAAATATGGAATATGTAAAAATAAAATGATGATTTCCATTTACTTGTTTGGGTGGACTAAAAATTGAAATGGAATGAATTTATTTTGTTTTCTCCAAATTACGTTTATCATTAATAAAAGAAATTTAACTAAAAAATTAACATCAAATTTTTTCCAATCTAGTGGTAAGAAAGAGGTCTGTAAAAATGAAATTGGGGTAAGAGATAGAGAGAGAAAGTAGAGAGAAGAAATAAATTGGGCAAGTGAGGTGTTGGAGATTGGGGTGAGAAAAGGCAATGATGAGGAGAAGGAAGCGATCGAACAAGGGTGAGGACGGATTCGATTTGATTGGTGGCTGTTGTTGGTTTCCTTGATGGAGTCGCCACAACCAACAAAGCTTGAGAGTTGTGTGTGTTTAGGAGGTGGCCAAGTTTTACATTTATAAAAAGCCACTACTACCTTTCTCTATATAAAATATAGATAGGGCGAGTAGGGATCGTCCCAAGGGATTTGATGGTGTATCGAAT